ATTTTGTAAAAAGTCTGAAGACAAGTAATAGGTCGGTATTTAGCCGGGTTTGTAGAGTCATTCATGTCTTTAGGTATCATGTATGTTATACCTTGGGTGATGTATGTTGGTAGTAAGTGTGGTGATTGGATGAATGTATTTAAGTGATTGTGTAGGAATGGATGTAGGGTTGTGAGTTTTTTATACCAATAGTTGTGTATGTGATCTGAACCGGGTGACTTCCAATTGTGTGTGTTTTTAATGACGTTTAAAAATGTATCTATTGGTATTATAAGTTCGGATTGCATTTCCTCGTGCTCTACGTTTACCTCGGGTATCCATGCCGCTGTACTGTTATGATTCACTGGGTTTTCCCAAATACCTGCCCAGAATTCTCGGAGCGTTTCTGCGGATGGGGTTTGTACGTTTTGGGTTAAGGTGCCTGTAGATGATAGGTTTCTGTAGAAGAGTTTCTCATTATTATTAAATCTATTATTTTCTAATTTACGGTTTGTACATGTTATGTACCTTCTGAGTCTACTAGATGCTGCGTTTAGTTTTTGCTTCATTGTATCCAGGAAGTGTGTGAGTTGTGTGTTGGGATTTTCTTATTGTGCGTGTCGTTGATACTTTGTCTTTATAACTTCTACAGCTGCTACTAATAATGGACTTCTATTACCTCTTATGTATTGCGATAATCTTCCTATATTTGCCCTCAAATTTCTTATTTTCTTTTCTAATCGTGTTTGCCATTTCCGTTTTATGGTATAAGTAGTTTGTCGTTCGGTCTGTACAGTGTATGATATTTTAGCTCCATTAAATTTAGCTGCTGTCCACGCAGCAGAATAAATAATAGTTTGTAAACTGTGGAAGTCTGTGTCTATGGATGCATATTTTGGGAGAATAATATTATTTATGTAGTTTACAATTGCGGAGAATTTTTTCGAAGTCTTTTGTTTGGGAATGTACGGCCTAATGGTGGGATCAGTATCAATAAAATATTGATGTGTTTCGTGAAATAAATCTTCGATCTCTTGATTTATTTCTGGGTTTGTGTTTGTCGCACCAAATTGTTCTAGATGGATATCATTTAAGAAATTGCCATCTACGTCTGGTAAATATGGTGTGATGGTAGTATCAGTGTTTGTGTTACTATTTTGGGAAACATTATTTATGTGCGTATGAGTGTGTGTGTCACTTATGAATGAATGTGTGTAAATGTTTTCACGTTCCGGGACGTTTGAATGCGTATCTAAATGTTGATTTGTATCTGTTTCGCGTATTAATTGTTCAGAAACTTGTTTTTTAATTTCTGCTAATCTGTTAACTGTAATATACTTGTTGTTTAGAATTGCTCTTACTTGATCCGACAACCTTTGCTCTGTAATGTGGGATAACTCTGGGAAAACAGTTATGAATTGTTCATGTAAAGGTTTCCTATAGGACGTTCTATTTGTTTCTAAGAAGGTAATTTTATAATATATGTTCATTATTGTTTCATTATATTCATTTGTCCATTTCATTCGTTGTCCAGGTTGTATATTAGGTTGTGTGTTATTTACTGGGGTTGCATGAGTTGTTGTTGAGTGTTGTTGTGTTATTGGGGTTATTTGTAGTTCAGCTCTAACCTGATCATAAATTTGGTCTATTGTCGTTTGTGGCAATAGTTTCTTTTGGACTATAGCTCGTCGTTGGTCGCCTATGCGCTGACGGCTAGCTTCCATGAATGGGAATTTTTCTAAAAACTTCGTATGTAATGATGGTAGGTAAGCGTTTTTATCGGTTTCCATGTTCGTGAGAAGAAGATAGTTACGTAGGATGAATTCGTTCATATCTGTCGTCCATTTCCTACGAATTTTGGCAGTACTTGTGGTGGGTACAACTTCGTCGACAGAATTTGTCAGCTGCACAACATCCACTGACTGAACAGTTGATGATGAGGATGGCGTCGGGGAGACGCAGAATGATTGTGATGATGATGAAATAGATGGAAAAAGAGACGTGGATGATGACGAAGAAAATTGGGAAGATTCGTCATCTAATTGAGGCATAACCTTACATTGTTTTTTCAATTTTGATCTAGTAATCATGTGATTCCCACGAGTAGCTAGGGACCTAAAAGTCGACCACAGCAGAGCCCTGCGTTCACTGTGGCAAGGGTAAATAAAACTGGAGGTCCCCTGGTCTCCAGAGTTGGCATACTCTCGACTAAGCACCCCCTTAGCCACGCAGCCCTCAGCGTATGCAACCTTGGCTTGGGTTGTATCTCTTTTAGTCGGACTCCTACCCCAGTCAAAATAAGACTAGGGGTCGGAGCCCTTAAGCCCCACCACGTCGACAACGTAGAGATACGTCGGTGGGGTTATTATTATTATTATTATAAAATAATCACTCGCGTATTGTTTAAAAGCAATGTCGCTTAAATTCATTTATTAGTTTAAAAAAAAAGATTTTAAAAGTTGTTCAAAAAACTCTTATTGTACCTGAATCTGTACTTTACTCTCTACGAACAAATAACTTCACTATGGTACTGATTCGTAGACAATTTTCAGTATATTCTTTTGAAATATTTTCTATTGAAATTATCTTGTTAAAATTAGGTACTTGACAACTAGTCAAAGACAGTTTTCTGTGAATTTTGTACGAGATTGTGTATTGTGACGTCACGCTTTTTTAGCGTCAAACAGCATACTTATTTCTTAAAAAAATGCTGGAAAAATACTAAAATTAAGTCGGTCATAAAATCAATGAATGAAAGTGTGATTATTTTTTAATATTATATAAGGTGTAGTTTTGAAGCCGTGTCATTTCTCGAGGACATGTCACAGAAGTCATAAAGGTTCAGTGTAAGAGAAAATTTCGGGTCAATAGTTAAAAATACGGCTATAATAAATCGTTTAAGTTCGACCGTATTTCAGAATAAGCGACAGCAATGTTTCTTATTGGAGTTTTATGGAATTAGGAATAATATCAATTACGTGTTTGAGTTTGTGTGTGTTAAGCCGCGTTATAAGCTAGTTACAAGACAGCAGCGTGTAGGTCGGACTTATGGATTTCGGTAATTTCAGAAAAATGAAAAATATTTACCAAAAATTTTATTTATTGATTCGGTCTCAGAATCGATAGCCGAGTTACCTCCTAGACAATGACGCGGCTTTAAAACAACACCTTGTATTGAATTGAATAGTATTAATAATTTATTTTTGACTAAGGAAAGTACCCAATTATCCACACCTTATTAAATCTGTTTTCCTCAAGGTTATTTTCTTTTCCTTTCTTCTTGACTGAATAGTAGTGTTACATTGTTCTCACATAATTGAACCAACGAAGCAAAGTAACCAACAATTGTATTGTGAACCTGATTGAAAAAGAGTAACCTATGGAGTTTCTTGCTCGTTCTTCTATATAGGAATCTACACCTTGAAATGAGCGAATAGAGGAACTACAGGACTGATCGACAGACTAAAATATTTTTTAATATTTTGTTTTGAAGTTGAAATGTGCCTTCCTGGTCTAATTGAAATAAATGATTTTGACTTTGACTTGTAATAAAAATATGAAAAAAAATATTTTATACATCCTGACATATTGTACATTTATAATATAATATTTTTATTTACATAGAGACGTTCATATATACAGCTACAAAATAAAGTATATTAAAAAGTAGTTGACAGGATATGAAAATTAAAAATCTATTTAGTCCGTCAGTTAGATAATTAAAAAATATTAGACACGTATTTTTTTATTTTGTCGTATAAGAAAACAATACTTAGATAAAACGAATCAAAGTTTGAAGTGGGAGCTAGGACATTTCTACGTATAAAACGTACATAGAAGTGACGTCACGCAATATTTCAAATAAATATATCGTCGAAAGTATTTGTTTACGAAAGAAAATAAAAAATACGTGTTTTAAAATAATCTATCAGACGGACATTCCAAATAATATTTAGGAAACTACCCCATTTTTAGGGTACGTACGCCTGTTCGCGTCCAACGTTCTAAAGTTCGCCTGTTCACGTACACCTATCGGTTCGGAACCATTTTATGGATCGCCATGAATGTAAGATACTTAAAAACGTCAAACAGATGTGTACTACCTGTCTGGTGATTTTTTTTTAATTTGCATAATTTTTTACGTGTTTTCCGTAACATGGACGCCAACGGACGCCAACGGACGATATTTTATGTTTACAAGTAATCGAAACGAGACCTCGTACGACGCTCTGATTGGCCGGCTCCAATGAACCATCGTTCCAACCATTGTCAGGTTTCGATTACTTTATACATAAAACACTCTCGTACTAAACGCTCTGGCTGGAGGATGGACGCTAACAGGCGAGCTCACCCTATATACCACGGATACAAAGCATGCATAACATGCAAAAATTAGGACGAAAGCCTATATAGTTAGTTTATTAAATATAAATAAAATAGTTACAGAAATATAGGTATCCAGCATTATAAAGCTTATATATAAAATAACGCCTTCTAAGCCCCGACAGACTAAACAGATGTATCAAATGTGACACCTATTTAACAATAAATAGTATATTTTATATGTCATATATATATTTAATACTAAGTACCCAGGGAACAACCAAATACCACTATGACAAATTTTCTTTATTCACCACTTGTTTTGAAAAGAAACAATTAGTACATTGTATGTTCGTTACTCAATCACGTCAAAGTCCCGTCAGATTCGGTCCAGCCATTCCAGATATTAAACAATACAAACAGACAAACAAAAATGTTATTTTAGTATGCGTTTTTTTTTTTTTTTTATCGTATGTTTATACATAATGCATGTACTAAAAACGGTTATTCTTAGCCATATTCAAAAAAAGGAGGTTCTCATCTCGACCATATATATGCTTTTTTATATATCCAATTTTATTTATATATAAAGATATTTGTTTAGTAGTATCTGGTTATTATTACCCGTAACGAATAATGTGCCTATGCGAAGCTCCCAATATTAAAATATCTAAGATAAATATGTAAGTGGGGCTTACCTTGTGGTGCTCCGCCGTAGCCGGGGGCTCCGTACGCTGGGGGCGGAGCGCCGTACGCGCCGTAAGCTGGTGGTCCAGACTGAAACACGTACAAATTTGTGTAAAAATCTAGGCTTACTTTATTGTGGTTGCGGTTATTGGAGGCCCAAATCTGCAATCCCTAAATCCCCAATGTAAATCCCATATGGTGGTAATGAACCTCTTTTTACCCCAAGATGGGTAATCCTCATGGAGTTCATGTCATGTCAGACTCTTACTAACTAAAACCCACCCCGGAATCCCGTCTCACACGTCCCTCGAGGGCGCCAGAGTCTCATTATTCCGCAGGTGGTATACCTATGCCAAAACTGGGTTTTTATAGTATAAATTTAAATTTACATTCATTAAACTGTCAAACACCAAGCGGTCACCGGTGACCGCAACCTATTGTTCTTTAATTGTGTCTACAAAACCGGTACTCGACGAGTTAATTTTAAAATTCTCTATATCTTTAGCGAAATTTTTAAATACCATTGAAAAAATCAGAAAATCAATTATTATGTGTGTCTTTACCATTCACGGGACCACAGGGTCCCGGTCATTTGGGAGGCGTACGAGGGGCCGAAGCCAACTGCGCAGAGGACCTTTTGACATTAATCTAAATGCAATGGGACACAAACCGGCGACTATCCCTGTATGCACTATGGAAATGCACCCAAGGACAGACCCAAGGACAGACAGTGTAGAATTATTGTGGATAATGGAAAAAAAAAGGTAGGGCTATGGATGGGTTGCTGTGGACTAGTAAATGGGGAACTATGGATGATTAAAATATGTGCTTATGGTATAAGCCGGCAAACGAGTAGACGGATTACCTGATGGTCAGCGATTAGCGCCGCCCATGGACACAACAACAAATATTTGTCAAGAAACGAAGGTACTGTATTTTTATCTTCATGCATATTTGTCTTGAGTATTATGTTCTTTTATACACATTTGTCTGTTCTTTACAAGAGACAGACCTCTGAGTTTGTTTCGGCATTTCTTATCAAAGTAGTCAGTTGGCAAATGTCGGCCTCATCGTTCGCTTGATAAAATTGACGTGTAAAAGTGCTGCCTTGTAGCCTATTTGCAGAAATAAATTCATTTGTTTCACATACGTATTTTTGATGTATCCCGCTAGGTGCCAAATAAAAAATAGATTTCCAGGTCAGTTCTATATAATAGATATCTGTTGGTCTGTAGCTTACCATGTACATCTGCTGCGGTGGCTGGGCACCTTCGAAGGCGATCAGCTGGATCATGACGTCACCGTCCACGGTGAGATGGGAGATCCTCTGGAACGGGATGCGGTGGGGGAACTCGCAGAAATGGACTCCGTTCACTGCGACCTAAAGGGGGAATTCGTGGAATTAACTGGTGGTTTGTTGTAATTTTAATATTATTAGGTATATCAACCGACTTCAAAAAAAATGGAGGCCAGTTGTATTCATGAAAATTATAGCACTTACCTTCAGAGACTGAGGTTCACACAGAATAAGAGCTTCGAAAGAGTCTCCCCTGCTGAGCGGCATGCCTCCATTGGTCTCTTCAACTCCCCAGTTCATAGCTGTGAGATGGTTACGGACCACGCACATCTCCACGAATCGGAAGTTGAGATGGAGGGCGATGTCATCGCGAGGATCCGTGTTGGGACCACATTGGAAGTTGATTGCGAACCTGTGGACAAATTGGTCATCATCAGAGACGCCCAAGGCAACCACCTCATTTTTTTGCCGCCGCCGTCAATCATGTGCAGTTGGGCCTGAGCGTCTCGCGGCTCCCCTCTGTGGCACTCTAGCCTCTTGCCTGCTTTACCTTACGGATAGGTACTACGATTCTGATCATCATCATCACCATCAGAAAGTGACAATTCACTTCCGAACTATAAGACTCCCTTCCTCCTCCTTCCAAAGACTGTTATAAGAGGGAGGAAATTCAAAAAGTCAAAAATCAAAAGCATTTATTTCAATTGAACCATAATTTGGTGCTTTTGAATCGACAACAAATACAAAATGAATAATAGACTGTCAATTTGTCAGTCAGTGATTTTGGCGCTCGTTCCAAAATGTAGATTCGAATGGAGAAGAACGAGCAAGAAACTGCAATCGTTAGTCTTTTAAAAAAATATATGTCTTTGTTTCAAGATCATCCAGGGACTTCTCCCTCGTTGGTGACGGTGGGAAGGAGTGTCAGACTCTTTCACTCCTTCCTCTTTTAGGACAGGAGCCATTTGACTAGTGCGTAAAATAAGCGCCGTGGCTAGGACCATCGTGTCCGGGCAACGGCTGAGCAGTAGCCATTTTGCACCATATTTTTTTTAAGGGGAATCATCAAATGACTTCTCCCGCCTGGGTGAGGCTGGAGGAAGTGTCAAACTCTTACCGACTAAAACCACCCCGTTCCTACTCCTGCACTTCGAGCCGGAGCCCCGGCAACTCGCTAAGTCTACCGCGGCTCCGTATCGGCATCAGCCCTATTGGGCCCCATCCGTGATGGTCTGATGGCATTTTGCACCACGATGGCGACTTGTATTCATTTTGTTTTTGTTTCTTATTTGTAATTTTCTTGTGTTACAGCGCAAAATAAACAATTTTTCTTTTTTATGGTATGTATAAGCCGGTAAACGAGCAGACGGATCACCTGATGGTAAGCAATCGACGCCACTTATAGACACACGAAACACCAGAGGTGTTACAAATGCGCTACGCGGAGGGTAATTGTGCCTCTGGTTCATTCTTTCTTCTTTTTTAGTTTAGTTATGTATGTGGACTCACCTCTGTGCGCCAGGAGGAGTGCTGCCTTGCACCCTGATCATGCGGCCAGGGTACATGCCAGCGGGGATGGGGTGCACGCATGGTATTACCTGAAAAGAGAAAAATGTTAATATAGCAGTAATTTTGTGAAAAGTCTGGATGACAGATGTAAAGCTGGAACCCTGAGCAGTATATTCTTGTTGATGTCGAAAGATGAACTCTGCAGCATTTTTTTTTTATTTAAAACTAAACATAACATAACGTCACGCCTTTTATTGCAGGTAGAGGTGCACATTACGGCACTAAATGCCACTGTACAATGTAACACCCACTTTTCACTATTTATGTTATGAGTCCCATGTAATAAGGAGTGAGCCTATTGCCATATACCGGGCACATTATTTAAAACTATGTAATCTTATCTTGTCACTACATAGTATAAAACAAAGTCGCTATAGTCGTCTGCACGCAACGTATTTTGATGCGGTTTTTTTAAATAGATAGAGTGGTTCTTAAGGAAGGTTTATATGTATACCTAATACATGCATATTGCACCCGTGCGAAGCCGGGGCGGGTCGCTAGTACTATTAAATAAAACTGAAGCGTTTGTATGTTTGAACGCGCCAATCTTAGGAAATACTTGTCCGATTTGAAAAATTCTTTCTGCGTTGTATAGTTCATTTATCCAGGAAGGCTGTAAGCTATAAAACATCACGCTTTTTTTTTTAGGGGGGAAAATCATCGAATGACTGCTCCCGCCTGGGTGAGGCGGGAGGGAGTGTCAGACTCTTACTGACTAAAAACCACCCCGTTCCTTCTCCTGCACGTCGAGCCGGAGCCCCGGTTACCCGTTAGGTTCTCCGCGACTCCGAATCGTAATCGGCCCTATTGGGCCCCATCTGTGGTGGTCTGATGGCTCTTTGAGGCGCGCGCGGAACGCGACGCGCCGTACGCTCGGGTCTGTTTCTGGTCGGACGGGGAGCCACCCATGCTCGCCGTCCGCAGGCCCGCGCTTACGGTGGCCGGAGATCGTCCCGCGATCCCCGACGCCCGGTGTGTCCTTCGCGATGGCTGGGTTGCGAGGAGGCAGCGCTTCGCTGCCTCACGCGTCCCGCCTCCTCCTTAGCTAGCATGACTGCTTCGCAAAAGGGGGAGACGGCATCCCAATCCCCCTCGCTCCGCATCATGGCCTGCACTAGGCCCGGACGCGAGAGGTCGCCATCGCCGATCACTTCCCTGAGGGCACGGCGGTGCTCAGCCCACGCTGGGCATTCTCCCACCGTGTGTTCCACCGTGTCCTCAGGGCGGTCCTCGCAGTGATGACACCCGGGCGTTTCCTCCCGCCCCATCAGACACAGGTACCTCCCGAAACTCCCATGTCCGGTGAGGACCTGCGTCAGGCGGTAGGTGAGGACGCCGTAGCGTCTCTCAAGCCACTCCTCAAAGAGGGAAATTACCGCTGCGATGGCAGCGAGCCCAGCCCTCGGTTGCGACAGCCGTTGCTGCCATTCCGCCATGAGATCGCGAAGTAGATTATGGTTTGGAATAACACAAAAGCGAATTTTTATAGCATGGGAATGCGGGCGAAGCCGGCGGCAGAAGCTAGCAATTATATAATTATTAAGAAATAACAGACTTCTGGTACATACAGGTAATTTTATACACAATAAGTAAGTTCGTGTCATATATTATTTGTCCTTTTGGAAATACCTTGAGGATAAAACTATATATGTAACACAGTCATTCATATAAAACCTATGACGTCAAATATTATCTCGGTATGAATGGGCTCTAATAGGTTATTTAATTTCCATATTGAAAATGGTTTTGCATTCATTGGAAAGGTCTCGGGTTCTGTGAGGTTTATAGCAAAGAAAATTCACTAATCACCAAACGAAATGTTACATAAAACGAAGCCATCTGGTGGCGAAACGGAGTTCGCCGGGTTTGCTAGTTTATTATGTTTTCGGCTTACTCACGTAACTATTTGACGAGGAACTCGACTAGTTTCAAGCAATGCTATAGGCTCATATTCATGAGCAGCATTCCGCGACCCGCGACGCGGCGACTGTCGCTGCTACTGTCGAGATCCTCGTCAAACAGTTACGTGACTCAACCGAAAACATGACAAATACACATGATTGATTGAAATTAAAAAATTCATTTAAACAGCAACCGCTTTCAATATTTGTGTATCGTCACAAATTATAAATAGACAAAGTATGTATGCAGTGACTCATACTAGTATGTATTGTGTAAAGAAATATGTACGGATATGTATACACATGTGTTTGAATCATTGAATAATATATTATTTAGTTGGACAACAGTGATGTGGATCGTATTACATAATACACAAGCTAGTCCCCGCAAAATCAGCCGCTGCTCGGCTCCAATAAGGTTATAAACATAGTCTTTAGTCGACAAATCAAATATACAACAATAAATAAATATTGAAATTGGACCAATAGTTCTGGAGATCAGAGCATTGAATCGGACAAACTCTTCAATGTTACACAATAAAAATACTATACAGCAGTAAGTGTTGAGAGCCATGCTTCGGTACGTATGGGCTGTCTCGACAGGAATGATACCACATACCACGGCTGGGCAGAAGATCGATGTAAAACAATGTTTCGTCATGTGTGGTTACCGGAGGCCCAATTATACCTCCCCCCTCCCTTCCCCAATCCCTTTTTTTATTTTTTTTTAAGGGGGAAAATCATCGAATGACTGCTCCCGCCTGGGCGAGGCGGGAGGGAGTGTCAGACTCTTACTGACTAAAAACCACCCCGTTCCCTTCTCCTGCACGTTGAGCCGGAGCCCCGGTTACCCGTTAGGTTCTCCGCAACTTCCCCAATCTCTGAATCCCTAACAATCCTCAAATTCCCAATCCCAAAAGGCTGGTAGCACATTTGTAACGCCTCTGGTGTTCAAAGTATCCATGGGATGTCTGCTCGTTTACCGGCTTATCCCATAAATAACAAAACATAGCAACTTCCAAGCGGTTTCACCTACTGCTCGGCTCCTATAAAGTAATACCGTGATGTTATATAATATCCTATACCTAGCCTTTGTCGGGTGAAGTTAAATAAATGCGGACCTAAACTTTCTTATTAAAATTAGTAGGAGGTGAAATATTACATTAACTCTTTGAGTAGGTACGGTCATTATAGACACAATAGAAGAACAATAGGTTGCGGTCACCGGTGCCCTTTGCGGTGTTTGACAGTTAAAAAAATATCTTTTGAAATATCTATAACTGATTATTATATGGTTGACTCTCTGAGATGTCACTGATATTATAAAATGGAAGAGTCTGTGAGTTTGTCTGTATGTTTGTTACTCCATCACGTCAAAACTGCTGAAGGGATCAAGATGAAATTTGGAACAGGGGTAGAGTATCCCAGAGGAATGTGGATGTAGTGCTGGTAGATGCTAGTACAAAATAAATGTTTCAAATCTGCATACCCTAATAAAAAAGCACAGAAAATATTGTCTTAAATTAAAGCTAATGTCCATAAATCAAATTCAAGCTGGAATAGACAAGATTCCAATGTTTTTCTATTATGATGTAATCAAGTACATATGTCCATTTCAATGAGATCTGTGCTGTCTGTGGCTTGGAATGTCTATAGTTATCTAGACAATAGTATTTTTGGAATTCTTAATCAGAAAGCTATTTTAAATTTTCTTTTTAAACCTTCTTGTTTTAAATATGCTAATTTAGCATTTTTTGTAACGGTTTTTAGCTTTCGCATGTAAGAATGTACTCAAGCGTAGGATAAAAATATAAATAGGTGAATTATAGACGTTTTAGATTAAAAATAGCTTTACTAACGCAAATTTTCGCGACAACTAACTCTTTCGCTCATAGAGTTCGTAATTTTCTAGGTAACGCCTTGAGAAATGAGGAAAATACGTTATTATACGAGAATAACAAGAATTATTGTCGCCGCATTATGCAAGGACCTTGGGAACGACAAAATACCAACGAATACCTACTAATTTTTATCACCGTAAAAGGTGTATGCTAACTTCGTTTCATTTTATCATTGTATTTACACACTACTTCTCGTAACTAAGCGCACCGAATTGTCCCGAATACCCTTGAAAATGTACAAAATGCCGCATAATAATGGCATCTTTCGTAACAACATAGATTAAAGCAAAAAAACTTACGGGATTGTAGATTGGTGGAGCAGCCATCTTTTATTATGTGTTATTTGCGGCGGTAAATCCAGAAACTGATATTACAAAGCTTATACAACGCTTTTTGGCGGATTACACTTATACACTAAGCGGATACGCCTAGCCTAGCGCAATAATATTACACGATTCAGTTGAATCAATTCTTTTGATGCGTCATACGTCATATGACGGCAGATCAAGGCTGAGGAATGACAGGCAGTAGTCTAGTCCGTTAAACAGTTAATAGTTAAACGTTTAACAATTAATAACGATTTAACTTGAATAATCCCTTAGAACCCGTAGAGATAGAGAATAGATAGATGATACATAATATGCAGGGGAGATGATGCCTAATGGCCAAACGCCGACCAACTACCAATAAAAAGAATCTTTATATTTTCAACGGTAACCTATCGGTGTTATTTATAGGTACGGATTCGCCAGAAGACATTATTTGTCTATCTATCAATTCAGGAGCCTTAATATTTTTTCATTATGTAGGTACATTTTCTATAAAAAAAATTAAATGATCAAATTATTATTTATTGAAGAGTGTACTGGATTGGTTATAGTATAGTGTATGTCTTAATTAAAAATTTTAAGAATAATTATAACAAAAATGAAACACGGATTTGTAACTGATAACTTTGCCTTCCGTTAAATTATCAGTAACTTTAACGTTTCCAATTTACTTCGCCCACCCTTAGTGTGAGAGAGATGACAATTCCAATTTCTACAAGAGCAAGTGAATAGAATGAAAATAATGCTATAGTTGTAGTTAATTTTAAGTTGTAAATATTTATGTAGTTATATAAATTATGATATTTAATAAAATAAACTATATAAAAGAAATAGATCCATAGATTGATAACGCCTTGTTCGCACTACGCTAGAATTTCAGTAGAGTATAATATTAGTATGGCTTAGATGTAATAATTTTTAAAGTAGCTCTCTCACGGTTCCATCAATTTACCTCTAGCTTTTATGTAAATAAATGCAAAATGCTATAGTTTTTAATATTATACAGAACTGAAACACATTTAATTATACGTCAAACGTATTAGAGTTTTCGAACTTTAGCTACTAGGCTTTTGACATTAAAAAGTATAAAATTCTACAATTCTACCACATGATAATTTAATATTTTCATGGATATTAAACTTTCCGTTAAATATTTAACTTTTATGTATATTTCTCTACTCATGTATCTATTAATTTCTTTTATTCCGCGTTATTTGCTAAAATAACTCATTGAAATTTATCATGTGTTGTAAAAAATTACCAATTTTTATGAACAACCCTAAATGCGGAAATTATTTCATTATGTTGGCACCTTTTCAGTATTTTGATTGACGCAATTCTACACCATTAATGCACATAAATGTAGTGAATTAAACGCAATTATATTCTATTTCCACTAATTAAATTTGCGCGCCGCGATTCTAATATCATTCTGCGACGTGTCCTTCGCGTTGAGAATAAGTTTATAATAATAGTTAATATTAAAGAGCTCCAGGATAGCGAAAAAATGACTCTTGATGGGAACAAGGACGAGGCAGAGAAATGCATAGCAATTGCTCAAAATGCATTAACGGGAGGTAACTTTGAGAAAGCCGAGAAGTTTTTGTTGAAAGCCGAACGTTTATACCCTACTCCGCTCGCTAAAGATCTTTTAGCTCGCGTTAGGGCCGCTGGGCCGTCGACAGGAGCTCCGAAACGGACTCCACCTTCGAGCCCAAGTACTGAGGAAGTTAGGAGGCGAAAAACTCCTGCTCACCAGCCTCCGCAGAGGGAATATACTCCAGAACAGCAAGAAGCAGTGCGCCGTGTCAACAAATGTAAAGATTTCTACGAGATCTTGGGTAAGTAAGCTAATTATTTACTTAGATGTTAATGTAGTGTTGTTCAAGGCTTTAGATTTTAGTTTGTTTTTTTATTGCGATAAGAATATTGTACGTGGTGTTTTATTTATTTATACCTTTGTTCTTTATATCTGGCTTATTTACACAAGTATAACTAGATGGAGGCTATAAAATATAAAAATAACTACTAAAAAATACTATGGTATTTTTTAAATCATACATTCATTAATTAATTAGTAGATAAACATACACAATGTCATTTACTAGTTTCTAATTATGTAGGTGCTATTGTGGAGGCCTAATTTGACCACAAATAGTGATAATGGTGATTTAACTAATATTTAGGTAATTAAAAACGTTAAGTAAAGGAACCACAAAAAAATAATATAAGGAATACGGACACATCAACCAGATTGGTGATATAGTAAAGAAGGGCCAATTTTTTTTACTACAATCTGTCCTTTCTTTGGGACATGTTGAAGGCACTCAGGTTACAAGCGAGATGTAAGCATTTATCATGTATAGGCCACCTATTTTTGGTGAAGAATGCATGCAATCAAATCCATCGATAGAATGTGGACTGTTACCCAGACAATTTCAAAATCACAGGTTGTTTGCCATACCCTCATGTCGTACCATAGCACATGCTAAAGAACTGATTCCTTGCACCCTGACCAACCTCAATGATCTCCTGGATTCCAATCCAACTAGTGATCAGTTTGCAGATGGATGGAAAAGAGATTTTATCAATGCTTAAAGTACTAAGAGAGGAACTTATGAATGCTACCATTTTTTAAATAAGTTTTACTCTTCTGTTTGTTGTATATGTCTCATTCTAGTTTATTATTTTATCGTTTATTTTGTTAATGTGTCCAGTTACTCTAATTGGTTTTTGTTTTCAACTGCTGTGACTGTAAATAATCAATTGCAACATTTTTTAATAAGTACCAAACATACATTTCAAATAGACTGTACAGTTGACACAGTGGCTGGGCAATTAACTAGCGTGCAACATGTAGTAGAGCGATTCAATTTCGATTCCTACATGCAGCAACTCCTTATGTGATCCACAAATTTTTGCTTCGGATCTGCATGTACTTATAAAGTGAACTTGTATGTTTGTAAACACCTACGACACAGGACATAATCCTAGTCCTCACTGGATTTTCTGCTGTGCCGTTTTTTTTAATAATCAAATCCAAGTTTACTTACTTTAAGCCACAGTTACGACTCATTCAAAGAGGCAGTCCAATGTAAAATGTAATGTCAAATGAGAATCTAGTTGAGTAATGAATGTGCTCGAAGTGTCTGACTTTTGACCCTGAATTAGCATTAATTTCGTTAGTAGTTACACTAAAGTGTTCTAAGTTACTGTTATTTAACCTATTTGTGTTGTTGAAATAATAGAATTTTCTGTCATAGGAACTACACAAGACATACATAACATCACGCCTTTTATCCCCGTAAGGGTAGGCAGAGGTGCACATTATGCCACTATAGAATGTTCCACCCACTTTTCACTATTTATGTTATGAGTCCCATGTAATAGGGGGTGAGCCTATTGCCATATACTGGGCACAATTCCAGACTCCGTGCTACTACTGAGATTTTTTTTAAAACCCAGTAATACTTTGCCCGACCCAGGAATGGAACCCGAGACCCCTTGCCCGGCAGTCGCACTTGCGACCACTCGGCCAACGAGGCAATCGAGATAGAAACTACTTTTTTTATAAAACTTATTCATTTGCTTGTATGCTTTAGATGGCCATGTTCATTCTCCAGGGCTGAAATGAATAACTAATATTAAATCGAAATGTCTGGATCATAGACTGCTTCATTGGCCGAGCGGTCGCAAGAGTTGCGGAGAACCTAACAGGTGCCCGGGGCTCCGGCTCGACGTGCAGGAGAAGGAACGGGGTGGTTTTTAGTCAGTAAGAGTCTGACACTCCCTCCCGCCTCACTCAGGCGGGAGCAGTCAGTCGATGATTTTCACCCCTTAAATAAAAAAAAGGTCGACTGCCGGGCAAGGGGTCTCGCTCGGGTTCGAATCCCGGATCGTGCAAAGTATTACTGGGTTTTTCAAAAATTCACAGTAGTAGCACGGAGTCTGGAATTGTGTCCGGTATATGGCAATAGGCTCACACCCTATTACATAGGTATAGTAGTCACCGTATACATTGTACAGTAGCATAATGTAAACCTCTGCTACTTCTTCGGGGATAAAAGGCGTGATGTTATGTTTTATGTATGTATGTCGGATACAATCGAAGATTATATTATCGAAGTATGTACACTGTGCAGCCAAGATTTTGAATTGAGCACAATTATTCATTTTGGAGCGTCGCCTCACCTTGTCGTTGTCGCGGAGAACCTAAAGTGTAACCGGGGCTCCGGCTCGACGTGCAGGAGAAGGAACGGGGTGGTTTTTAGTCAGTAAGAGTCTGACACTTCCTCCCGCCTCACCCAGGCGGGAGCAGTCATTTGATGATTTTCCCCCCTTAAAAAAAAAAAGACCTTGTCGTTGACTTCTTAATAGGTACGTGATGTGATGTTACGCAGCTGTTATGTTGCGACATCACCATTGCGCGAGTTTCCTTCTAGAATACGTCAGACTAAGAATGACTAAGCCAAAATAACTACATACAATTTTATATTATCCTCATATTGACGTGGCTCATCAGTCAATAAAAAAAAATATTAACTACTTAGCTTTTGCCCGCGGCTTCGTTCGAACTCTTTTGAACTGTCAAACACCAAGCGGTCACCGGTGACCGCAACCTATTGTTCTATAATTGTGTCCACAAAACCGGTACTCGACGAGTTAATTATAAATAGTTGACTATTTTTTTTTTGTTACTCACAAATAGTACGCATTTTTAGCTTTCTATCATGAAAATTGCGGAATGCTCCATACAGACTTCCACCCCACATTTTAGTGAAGTTGGTTTGAAAGAGAAAAAAGTAGCCTCTCATCTCTTCTACTGTTAAAAACCGTGCTCCTACTGAGAATTAAAAGAAAAAACAGTAATACTTTGTCCGACCCGAGAATCGAACCCAGACACTTTCACATTAGTATGGAAATATGGATAATGATACTAGTTCTGTAACCTGGGTTTATCTTTTAATTTTGTCTGTAGACGTATCACCTGATGGTAAGCAATCAGCGTCGCCCATTGACACCCGGAACACAAGAGGAGCTAGTTACAAGTGCCTTTGGGGCAGAGGGGCACCTGGTAACCTCATTGACATGACTGCTGCACATAATGCAAGCGTTGATTCACGCCGTCGTACTGCGAGGCCGTGGTATCACTCCGGTTGAGTCGACACAGCCGTACATAGTCTTACATGTGATATTTTTTTTATGGGATAAACCGGTGAACGAGCCCTCGGATCAACTGGGACAACAACGAACACCATGGGCGTTACAAGTGCGTTACCGGCCTTTTGTGTGTAACTTAACTTAAAAAATGTAACTTTAAAACAAATTCTTAAAAATAGTTATATAAGATTTG